AGATGTATTATGGTCATTTAAATATTAAAGCCAAGTGAAGGGTCATTTCTATATACCTTAAGGTTAAGGATTGAAGGCATTGTAAGTGTTTTGTTTAAATGAGTTATTTAGCTTGTACATTTCGCGCGTTTCCTGTCGTCCGCCATGCAGGATGATACCGCAGCTTTTCGTTGCAGGATAACTGGTGGTTACGAGGCTATTGAGCAGTTCCAACGTGATTTGATTCGTTTCCAAAGAGAAACTGCGAGTTCGTTTTATAGATGCACGGTCATTACTGCGGAGGGACATAAGCAAAGGACTGGAAAGGATCTCCCTGATGGTTATCGGTATCGATTCATTCAATATCGATGTGTGCATAGCAAGCGTAAGAACGTGAAAGGAAAGCGGTAAGGTGCATGATAAATTGACTGCTGTTAAATCTTTCAGTTATAGGTGCTACAACTGCGAGGCCCGATTTTCTGTGGTGCTGAAAGGCAGGTATTACGAGATTGGCCGCGCCTGGTTGAAGCATTCCCATGTATTCCAGTTGGGTAAACCTTGGCTTTATCCTGCTAATCGGCGGCTGAATGCGGTACAAGAAGCGGCGGTATTGAAGTTGATGAAGTCTTTTCGTCAGACACGTGAAATCAGGGGTTTCGTGTTAACGGAATACGGCATCCGCATTACCAGACGTGATTTATATCATCTGAGGCATCGTAGTCAGAAGGAGCAAGTTAGTGAGGTGGAAAATGTGATCACCATGCTTGAAAGCGAAGGTTCATGTTCCGTTGTGAGGGAGCGGTTAGAGGTGCGATTCCTGTTCTTCGTACCTGCGTGCATTCGCAGTTTGGTTGCACGATACGGGGAAGTTATACTGGCGGATTCGACGCATCAGCTTAATTACGGTGGCTACATACTATGGCATTGTATGTTTGTTGACGTGACGGGGGTAGGTATTTCTTTCTTTTACGCCTTGTTACCGAATGAGACTACGGAGAGTTATTTGGAAGCGGTCACAGCTATGCGGGCAATGGTTCCTAGCACCGCATCCGTGCGTACTATTGTGGTAGACAAATGTGCGCAACAAATGAACGCTTTCAGGGAGGTGTATCCGGAGGCGTGCATGGTATTGTGCCGTGTCCACATGTTACGGGACATAAACCGACGGTGCAGTCACCTCTCAGTTGCGGACCCAGCGGAAAAGGCTTTTCTTATCCGTTTGTTGAGGAACCTGATTTTCACGCCTGAGGAGACGCGTTATCACGGAATCCTAGAAACCATTCGGCAGAGGAATACGGAATGTTTTCAGTATTTCCGTAGGACGTGGATGCCATGGTGGAGATGTTGGGCGGCGCATCAATTACGGCATGTGATGATGTTCGGATGCAATTCTACAAATCGAGTTGAGAATGAAAATATGCATCTTAAACGGACTTTGAGCGAGCGTTCCTCTTTACGGGCGCTTTTCGAAGTGATCGTTCATCGTGCGAAAGGTATGGCTGATGGTCATAGCACTCAGTTAGCGACGGAGTGCATGCGAAGTAATACAGTTGGCGGTGATGTATTTGTGGTATCGGAACTTGTAAGCAGAATGACGGCATATGCTCGGGAAAGGGTTATGAAGCATTTTCAGGGCAGGACTATTCTCGGAGTCCTGCCGGATGGGCCGTTCCGTTTGGTGTCTGAATCCGGGTCAGCTGTCTACCGCGTTTGCATACACCGAGGCAGTAACTGTGACTGCTCTTTCAATCGTCATTGGCGTATGCCTTGCGGTCACATATTGCATGTTGCGGCTGAGGAGAATCGGAATGCCGACGAGGTCCTTGAAGGATGTCGATGGTTGATTGATGCAGCGTTACAATCTGAAACGGCGCAGAACTTGGATTGCCGTCAATGTGAAACTATCACCCCAGGTGCACATACACACAGTGTGATTGACAGGCGCATAAAGATTCGAGGCTTACAAGAGGTGCTGGCGGAAATAGATGTGAACGTCCAAAGTCTGGGCTCAGAGGGATATCTGAAAGCTCTCGATATTTTGCGTGCTTTCGGTAAGGTTATCTCCTCAAAGTTGGATTACAACATTCGGTGCGACACGTCCAAGTGTTCCGATAGTATACCGCTGTGCACGGCAAACATACCACGTTTATTGGGAGGTACATGTGAAACTGAGGTGCAAGTAATTGCCCCTGGCTCCGTTGAAATGTCGGCCAACTTGGAGGACGTCGTTCGGATGGATGGCAGTCCGGATATCATTCCATGCCCGTCAACTTCTGCTACGGTGGTCAATGTGGTGAATCCAGGGCATCGGAAACGTGCGCGCAAGGAACCCTTGATCTGTCGTGTTGTAAATCCTGCTCCCGGTACCAGCGCACTGAGCGAGACGAAATTTCGTCGGCTGCCGAAGACTACGACCGCGAAGTGCATAACGCAGAGCAAACCTGGTGCACATGGGAGTGCAAATGGCCAGGTTCCAACAACTGCTTGTGAATTGTGTCTGCAGGAAGAGGACTTTGGAACGCGTGGTAGCGATGTCTCCTGGGTGATGTGTGACAGATGCTCAAGGTGGTTCCATCAAACTTGCGCATCATATCATGGTGAGGATAATTATGAATGCGTCTTCTGCACAATGTAAGTTTCCAGGATTCAATGTAATGATTAAACACATTGCAGGTGAACAGGAGAGAACAGCACCGGCGTTTGCAATTGGAAGCCATTTGCTGAAGTAAATGCGTTACATTTCATTCCCGAATGTCCATGACACTGTTGGTAAGTTTCCTTATTTTATGATAACAACGATTTCATGTTCCTTTGGTTTACGTTGACTTCAGCTTGCGTAGGTGTCTTAATGCAGCAGTTACAGCATCATGTCCGCTTATGGTAACAGAACGGCATTGTATGGGCATTTTCATCTTGCTGACGCGTTATGTTCTGTACAAGTGAAAGCTTAATCATCATCATGTAACCTTAGTTCCTTGGAAAAAAGTAGCAGTGTCACAAAACGTTTGATGACACTGCAGAGATGAAATGAAGCTGCTTCAAAACAGCTTACGTACGTTAAACGGAAGGGCACGGTTCCCGTCAACTATCATCCGGTCACTATTCCGCAAAAATTCCACTTTAAGTTTCGCCGGGACTGGAACGATAGCACAATCCCGTTACTGCTCCATTTCCAGTAAATCGTTGCGCCAGTAAATCATGCAGTGTTCAGTTATTGATGCATCTGAAACGGAACACCCGTATGGCACCCTGACCAACCATTTCATGCCCACCTGTACAGCCTTAGCTGTCCCTGCTCTGTCAGTCACGTGAATTAAGCCACAGATAGGAAGAGAAATGGAAGGTACAGAATAAAGAATTGCACTTTAAATAAGAAAATGATACCAATGGGTTAAGATACAACAACAGCAGTACATCAGCCATTTGAACTGATGCTTCGCTGCCATACAACCATGAGGACCTATGAAATAAAGAATAAGAAGAGGGGGAGAAGGGGGACTTACCTGGGAACATTAATTCTTAAGCAAACATTCTTGGTCAAGGCGCCTACACCATGTGTAGACAACATGCCGTCACAAACGGCTGTCTATCGTGCAAAGAAAACGCGGCATCGGCTTGACAGATTCCTTGCTGATTTCACTGCCACGCGTCATAATCAGCCATTACCCCGCAGATAACTCTGCACCAAATATACTTGAAACAGGCAATCCTATTTGAAGACCGCAGCAGACGCGCCACTGGTGTCGGTTGCCAGCCATGTCCTGCAAAGTCTGCAGCGAAGCACAAGGTGAGTCACGTGGACTGCAACCCGGAAGGCGAGACGGACCAACGGCACCCAGTTTGGTCGTCAGTGACTTCATTTCACGCTGCGAAATCAAGTTCTGTCCACCTAGAGGCTTGCGCCATCCTACACACGGTAGACTGAACAAGGCCCAAATAGGTAAGCGGTGACCAGGCATGCGTATCACGTGCCCGAGCCAACGCAACTTATTCAGTGCTATCTGTGCTACGTTGCTAGCATGATTATCACTATCTAGTACTCGCCTACGCACATCATTTTTGTGGACACGCTGGTGCCATCCGACACCAGCAATGCTTCGCAAACAACGATGATCAAAGACTTGAAGGCGTCTCAGATCTTCAGACCGAAGCGGCCAAGTTTCACTACCATACAACAGGACGGCCCTCACTGTGGCCTCGTATACACGGCATTTCAGACGCTGGGAAACTCCCTTATGTCGCCAAAGATGCCGCAGGTTCAAGAAGGTAGCTCTGGCCTTTGCAATGCGTGAGCTCACGTCAGTTTCTATGCGCCCATCGTAGCTGATGCACCCGCCAAGACAAGTGAATAGATCAAATACCTCGAGTTCCTCGTTAGAAAGCGTCAAGGGGTCATCAAGTGGCTGGTGTTCATGCAGCTGTACTTCGCACTTTGAAGTTCCGAAGTGCATACCAAATAATGGGACCACTCTGAATAGGCTAATCATGGTTGATTGTGCCGCCTCAACATTGTCGAAAAGCAAGACCATATCGTCCGGGGTCATCAAGTGGCTGTTGGTCCTGCAGCAACACTTTGCCGGTGCGAAGTGCATACCAAAAATGGGAGCACTCTGGACAGCGAATTCAGGGTTCAATGCTCCGCCGCAAAATCGTTGAAAAGCCAGACGATATCGTCCGCATTATGTACGTCAACTAACCTTTCACCAGGCAGCAGTTCAACGCATACATCCTTGGATTCCGCAAGGGATCACTCCATGATGGAATCCACGATGAAATTGAACAAAAACGGGGAAATCGGACAACCCTGACGAACGCCATTTGTAGTAGAAAAGCTATCCGATAGCACACCATAGACCCTGAAGCCGTCTGTAGTGTCTGAGTATAGAGAACGAAGGATGTTCACATATGTCTTGGGAACATCTTTTCCCGCAATTAATTGGCACGGAATCCATCGAACGCACGCTTGAAATCCAGGAACACAGCTATTGTCCGTCTGCGGTATGCGTGGCGCTGCTCTAGCACCTGCCGCAAAGTACATATATGGTCTATACAGCCACGTCTTGGTCGTAAACCTGCCTGCTGTTCCCTAATCCGCGATTCACGTTCCTCAGTGAGGCTACGAACGGGAATCGAGGCCAGTAATGTTGTCACAACTGACGTTAGGCTAATACCGCTGTGGTTCGCAAGGTCTGTGCGACTGCCCTTTTTGTATATTGCCACTATAATCGATTCCCTCCAATTAGCCGGCACACTCATCGTTCCAGATACGTTACAATAGGAAGCTCAGTGCCCTGCAGAGGACCTTACCTCCCTCCTTAAATAGTGCCGTTGGGTGGGAATCTGGGCCAGCGGCACTGTAACGAATGAGGGCTGTGATCGCGTTTCGGACCTCGGCCTCCGACGGAGGCTCTAAACTAACGGTCCATGGCTCGTCCTGCATCGGCTGAGTATGATGACGTCCGGGAGCAGGGTTCCAGCTGAATTGATCTTCAAACTGTTCAGCCCAACGAGGCATACGGCGCTACTTATTGTGTATCAGCGCACCCGCTCTCTCCATGATTGTCTCACTGACGCCTTTTTTTCTTTGACCAGTGCTGCTTATTAGCTGGAAGAGCTTGGGGTAATTGCCTATTGCTCCTGCCTCCTCCATTTCTTGAGCCCGACTGGTCCACCACGCTTCCTTGTCAGCACGTAGGCTCCGCTTTAGTTCACGCCTATTAGCCCCTCTGGTCACATCGTGTTCAGAACAAGTGGCAGGTGTTTTCTAGCTTCCAACATGTTCACGGACCTCTCGGATATCCAGTGACTGGTGCGTTGACGATGGATAGTGCCACCACCATATGCTCCTTCGTCTTGCGTGGCGGCGGAGATCCTATTCCACTGAATTTAAGTGTCATTAGTACCAGACAGTGGTAGTTCGGTATGCAGTGCTTCTTGATAGGCTTGCCT